GCTAGAGGGCCACTTGTTTACCAGACTACTTTCTTAAAGGAGTCTGTTACATTTGCTATACAATTGCTGTTCAACAAGCACACAAAAAACAGTATCACTGTCTTGGCTGACACACACACAGAACTCAGTTCCAATGGCTAGACAACTGACCTGCATTAATAGATTTAGAGAAAAAGCCGCTTTGGAAGATGTTAGAGGACCATGGGAACTGGTTTAGAATAGCTGTTGGTAAGAGGAAAGTGAGAGCAACAGTGTTGTTTCTCAGATACAGCCACCAAATTGGCCACTGCTTCCTGGTACCCCATGACAACCAAATAGGATCACTGGGACTTAATTTTCATTGCTATTTTCTAAAGTAGATGGCCAGGTCTCTTTCTATAGTCTTAGTCTAGATGTTCAGTGAGAACCTGCTCTGGATCATAGCAATGCGCACATCTCCACTGACAGGTGGTGGCTGGGCAAGAGATGCACAGTCTTTCACACGAGCAAAGAAACGTCCATGAAATCATCACACCTACTGCTGCTATTGATGCCATTTTGACTTCAGAGTGAACCTAAGATGGGCTTACACTCCTAGTTATAGTCTTGGAAACACACACGGGGAGTTCTAAATCCTATGCTACAGGGTCGCTATAAGTCAGCATCGACTTCATGGCAGGATTTTTTTTTAAGGAGAGTACTGAGGCTATACGTCTTGCAGGAGCATACCAGCATGTCTGGTGGGTTTGAATCATTGACCCTGGCTAGTGGCTCAATGCTTAACCCACTGTGCCACCAGGGCTCCTTGTCTCTTGCACACAAAGTGAAACATTCTATCACCATGCTCCCCAGCCCAACATCTACCCCATCGCACCACCCCACCGCACCACTAGCGCTCCACCTTCTCAAATGTTCGACTCCTGTTAATAATCAGTTACTGGAAAACTACTGGAAGCTTTCTCTTTGAGCTCAAACCTTTGTTTCTTAACAAACATGAAAAAAGAACACGACTCCCAGGATAGGTAGTAAGAAAATATCTCTTTATAAGTAACTAGCAACTTGAAATTGTGACAGAAGGGGGAAATTCCAGTGTAGACTGCTCATACCTTTGAAAGCAGAGTATTAATTTTACCTGTTCATTGAAGGCAACGTAAATGTGGGGGATAAATTGAGAGTTTTGAGATTCACTTATTTACTTTATTTACAAATAAAGAATGTCCCTTATAAAGCCTAATGTGAACAAGGCAAGCAAAATAAAGAAGTAGCTGCTGGCTCCACAGTGACGTGAGAAAGGAGTCCAGGCCACTCTCTTCACAATGATTTTGTTATTAAAAACAGACAACAAAAAAACAAAAACACCACATGATTTCGTCAGGTTACATCAGTAAAGAATTTAAAATAAAAAGGATTTTTCAAAATGCAGCAGTCTCTGGTCAAAGGTGACAGCTCGTGCTCCTGGCCTGGAGCAAAGGCTCAGTACTCGTCCAGAGCCTCTGCTCGGGGAATGGAGAGGCCTCGATCCTTCAGAGCCTGCGCTTTCAGCTTCTCTGCTTCTAGCTTGGCCTGCTGTTCCACCCTTTGCTCCTCTAGGATTTCTTCAATCGACACCTGCTGGAGGGGGGTGTCGCTCTCCTTCTCCAAGTCCTACAAACAAGGAGAATTGAAAAACGTCATTTGAAGACCTAACATAAGAAAACATTATTTATACATTTTAACTTTTATTGCTTTTTAATTAATCATTTTATTGGGGGGCTCTTACAAATCTTCTAACAATCCATCATTTAATTGTATTACGCACACTTGAACCTATGTTGCCATCAACATTTCCAAAACATTCTCTTTCTACTTGAGCCCTTGGTATCACCTTCTATTTTTTCCTCTTCCTTCCTCACTCTCCCATCCTCATGAATCCTTTATCAATCCTATATTATTATTGTCATTTCATGTTTTACATTGTCTGTTGTCTGCCTTCACCCACATTTCTGTGATTTGTCCCCCTTGGGGAGAGGAGTTTATATCCAGCCTTATGATGAGGTCCCTCCCCCTATTGCAACCTCCTCCCTCCCTCCCCCCAATCCCTCTACCCTTGAAAACATTCTATTTCTAAATGCACATGGATTCTTAAGCTAGGCTTGGGTTATTTTTCATAAGACTGGGATAAGGCTGAAATATCTTTCCTTTAGGGACTGATGATGTTTTCAAAGAAAGGGCTGGCAACACTACTTTAGAATATGAAGGGGCACCCCCCTCTCAAAATGTAATTTTCCCCCACAAAGCAATGTGTTTACATTTTTTTTTTTTTTTTGCATCACCACCTTATCACTTTCAAAGTACTCTTTGTTACACTTAATATATTTGTCAAATCTGTGATTCCATTCTTGGAAACATTTTTCAGACTCATCTGTTAGGATGGCTGACAGCACCTCACTTGCTTTTTTCTTCACCTTCTCTAGATCATCAAATTGCAGTCCTTTCATGTCTCTCTGCATTCATGAAACAAAAAGAAGCAAGGAGCAAGGTCAGGTGAGTAAGGTGTGTGGGGCAAGAGAGGCATGCTGCTTTTTGCCAAAAACTGGTGCACTGAGATGGCTGCATGAGCAGGTATTGTCATGGTGGCAAAACCAGTCCCGTCTCCCACAGATCAGGCCTTTGTCATCACACACAGTTATACTATCTTTTTAGAACCGGTATCTGGAAAGCTTGATTAACAGTCTGACCTGGTGGAATGAACTCCAAATGCACTACAAGTCAACGTTTTTGTCTGTTCGGGAAGTTGAGGGATGTCCAGAAAGAGGCATGTCAGCAACCGATGTTTCACCTTTTTTTGAAATGAGAGAACCACTCGTACAGTTGAGTTCTTCCCATAGCACTGTTCTCGTACAGTTGAGTTCTTCCCATAGCACTGTTCTGGTAACCTGTGTTCAACATCACAACAGTTTCTGCGGCATTTTTCCCGAGGAGGAAACACAATTTCACAGCCTATTCTCTTAAATTGGCCATCACAAAAACGAGGTTCGAACAAAATTGCTTTTATGAAAAAATTCACTGACCAGAGAGAACCTTCCCAGGCGATGCCACTGGGTGCACTAAATCAAAGCACAAGCTGCTCAATACTTGGCCTAGTGGAAAAAATTTGTACTACGAAAGCTCTGCCCAGCAGAGTATTTTTCCATTTTTTTCTAAGGTACTGTCCAGTACAAACACTATACATGTAAGTGGGCAATAGGGATTGGTATCGGTGTATAACACAGCTTTATTATTGTGAGTTGTGTATGCAAAAGAGACCTGGCTCCATAGGGTATCAAAACTGTGACCTTTCAGAGCAGGTCATCAGGCCTTATTTTCAAGGCACCTCTGGGTGAGTTTGAACCACCAACCTTTTGGTAGCCCCGCATATCTGCACCATGCAAGCTCTTAACAAAACTTTAGGTTATTGAGAATCCTAGTTAGTTAAGGACTAACTTCTCTTAAAGCAGCTATCTTCCCAACTCCAGAGAATACAAGACAAGTTACTAGACCAAAGTGACTTTTGATGTTTCTTGTATTTTCACATGATCAAGTCCCTTCATTCCTGGGGGTAGCTGCTCAGTCAGAAGGTAAAAAGCACTGATTCAGGTTTCATACTGCCCACCCCACTTTTAAAGAGAATAAGCTGTCCTACTTAGGAGTCTTTAGACAAGATTCTTTTGCTCTTGATGGCAATAGGCTTCTAGAGAAAACCTTAGCATATCAGTCAAGCTATTAAGCTAGTTTGGGCCCAATACATTTTAACTTTTTGTTCAGTAAAAAAAATTCCCCTTATTTAAAATCTATATTCTCATGTGAAAATTTTAGAAGAAAAAAACATAATGAAATCTTAATTATGCATAGTTCCAGGATGGAGAAGAGAACATTTAGGTGAATACCTTTCAATTTTTCTAGGTGTATATATACAAACCCACAATTCAAAAATTAACTGAATTGTTTTACTTGATATGACATAAAAATGTGTCATATTTTCCAATACTTTACATTGAATAATTATTTCATCATGCAGAAGAGCCTTTCTTTCTCACTAGCCACAGATCCTGTCGTTTCTCCTTAAAATCCCTGGCTTAAAAACAGGCCTTATTCTCGCAGTGTATTGTGGAAAGGTTTACAGGAAGGGGGTTGTTTTTCGCCCTTCCTCCTCAATGACTTGGAAGCATAAAATATTAGTAAGGCATAGGCACACACACAAGAGCTCCAGATGTCCCCAGCTAACAACTAGACACGAATGTTCACATGTTGCCAAGGCCTCAGAACCCACAAGGCTGCGGATATCAGATATAGGCCTGTCACCACAGAGGTCAGAAGGTAAGCCACCTAAATTACATAAGTTAGCCCTTCCCTGTGTCAGAAGTCAATAGGACCAAGCAAGAGACAGATGATCATATGCAGCTTGATATCATTACCCATAGGTAGCAGCAGAAGGGAACACGGTGTTCTCAGTATACGGCCCCCTGGGCTATTCAGTATGTTACTCAATGAGCCAGTTGTTATGATGCTACTTCCCAATAATCAGATATGTTACTTAAGGCTGTGCAAATCATTGTCCTTGAGGCAGAATCCAGTGACTTCTTAAGCAATGCATTTGTTTATAGAAACTAAATGATTTCTGGGTATGAGTTTTCTGGGGACTGATACATAATTTCAGACTGACTGTTGTGTCATATGATTATGCAAGCATTCCTAAATCATGTGTCTTTAAATAATGCTGGTGCAAAATTCTGCATATTAAAATAAAACGAGTACTTTTTTCCATAAAGGGATTCCAAGAAACAATGATTTTTCAAATACAAACACTTGTCTATTTCTCTCTCTCACACAGAGAAACACAGACACCCCCCCAAGACAAAATTATAACTGACACAGAAAGCTTGACTCTTCTGTTTAGCACTATGATGTGCAAGCAGAGTACATACAAGGGGGTACTCCCCCCTAAAACCAGAATTGCGCTGGGCAGAGCTCTTGTAGTATGCATTTTCCCCACTAGGGGAGCACTGAGTAACTTGTTCCGAGTTAGTGCACCCACTGGCGTTGTCTGGGAAGGTTCTCTGGTCACAGTGAATTTTTTCATAAAAGCAGTTTCACTTATTTTTTTGTGATGTCCGATTCAAAAGAACATCATGTGGCTGTAAAATTTTGTTTCCTGCTCAGGAAAAATGCCGCAGAAATGGTTTGTGATATTCAACACAGCTTACCAGAACAGTGCTATGGGAAAAACTCAACTCTACGAGTGGTTTTCTCGTTTCAAAAAAGGTGAACCGTCAAATGCTGACAAACCTTGTTCTGGATGTCCCTCAACTTCCTGAACAGACAAAAATGTTGACTGTTGACTCACAGTGCATGTGGAGTTTATTCCACCAGGTCAGACTGTTAATTAGGCTTTCCATATAGAGGTTCTGAAAAGACAATGTAACAGTGCATGACAAAGGCGGCCTGATTTGTCGCAGATGGGGGACTGGTTTTGCCATCATGACAATGCACACCTGCTCATGCAGTCATCTCAGTGCGCCAGTTTTTGGCAAAAAAACTGTACCTTACCTGACCTCACTCCTTGCAACTTCTTTTTGTTTCTGTGAATGAAGAGGGACATGAAAGGACAGCAATTTAACAAAGTAGAAGAGGTGAAGAAAAAAATGAGGTAGGTGCTATTAGACATCTAACAGATGAGTTTGAAAAATATTTCCAAGAATGAAACTTCAGATTTGACAAATGTATTATGTGTAATGGAGAGTACTTTGAAGGTGATAAGGCTGTATTGTAAAAAACAATTTAAATACATACTTTGGGGGGGAAAATATTCTGGTTGTTTTTTTTATACCTTCCCATAAACACTTGAAATTAAATCTTTTCTCCATTTTGAAGTAATGTTTCCTCTTTAAAAATTAAATTATGACAAAAAAGTAAATTATATTATGGTTCCTCTTTAAAAATTAAAGTATGAAAACAGACAAAAAACAATCACCCATAGTCCCACCATCCAAAGACGGGTCAGTTTCTCTAAACATGCTAACAAAGTACTTTAATGTCATTTACTCATGCCCTCACCCCCACAGAAGACTGTTTTATTTCAGCATCTGTATAAGATGAGATAATTACTTATGATTAAACAGAAAACAAATAATCTCAATGCCATAGAGTTGATTTCAATTTATAGTGGCCCTACAGGAGAGTGGAACTGCCCCTTTGAGTTTTCAAAACTGTAAATCCTTAAACATAGCCAAAAGGATCAACCACAAAAATACTGTGAAAAGAAAACATTATTTCACACATTTCACACCAGCAGCAGTTGGGCAGTATTAATAGTATTACCGTACATACTCGAGTATAAGCCGACACAAATATCAGCCGAGGCACCTAATTTTACCACAAAAACTGCATTAAAAATGTGCTGAAAAACTCGGCTTATACACGAGTATATATGTAGTTATTTCTAGTTATTTCTTTTTTTTTTTTTCCTAGCTATTTCTAACAGGAGGTTTTCAAACCAACCTGGGTAAAATTGTCTCATTTTCTCAAGTGGCTTATTGTTAAAATAGCTACAAACAAACCACTACAAAGATGTCTTAATTTCAACTACTCTTAAAAAGATTTTGAATTTTCTGGCAAACCCAGTATTCATAATCAATAGGATAAAGCTAAAGGCTTTAAATAAAGTCCCTTTAAAAAGTAAATTTTCATGTAAAAAATTTCATGAAATCCTGTTCTATCTTCTTAAAAGTCTTAGATTATTTCTAATAGTTTTATATATAGAAAGTAATTTTCTAATAGCTTTGTGTATAAGTGTGTATATATTTAAGTAAAACAAACAAGAGGTAAAGCAACTACACTCCAGATCTGGTTTAACCTTTCACCTAACAGCTGGTCTTCCTGCAGTGAGTCATGGGCGCAGGGGAATGAGTCCCACTTTCAGTATAGTTAACTGAAAGGCTATTCCTGTAGTCATTTTCTTTCCCCTTTAAAAAATACGGTTATCACACTGCAATATGCAACATGTCTTTCCCTTAACCACCACTTTATATAATGAAAAATTAATTGTAACCAATTGTTTAAATGACTGAAAAATATTCTAACATGCAAATCATATACTTTACAGAATTATTCTGTTAAAAATTAGTTTTTAAAATTTTCTGCTACAGCTGATTTCAGAAATATATTAATAAACATATATATATATATATATGCAGTCAATGGGATAACAATCTTTAAGCCGTGGAAAGGCACTGAAACAAAGTTAACTATTTTCCACAAATTCCTTCTGTCTATAAGAACCTACATAAAATGTGGGCAACATTGGCCTACTCTTGGAAAGACAAAAAGGAACTTAGCTAGTTTAATATTGAAATCCACAGCAGCTTAATAGTGTTCACTTACTATTTCTCCTAGTAGGACCACATTTTCTCCTCTGACCACAAAAATCCCTCGAGGAATATCACCGTATTTTTTCCCCACATGAATACGCTCCACAGTCTGATGGAGCACTAAGTTAGCTAGAAACATATAGAGAGAAAACAAAAATATTTAGTTCAAATTATTGAGTAAAGGTCTGTAACATAACCATAGTTATTTTGAGTAGAATTATCTACACAGGATCTGTTGCTAAATCCGGGGAAGCTCAAGGACCCATCTTCTATTTCACTAGAATACTTTTAACTCACTGACTTCACGCCGATTCCGACTCCTAGCGACCCTTCAGGACCGGGTAGACCTGCCCTTGAGGGTTTCAAACAACTGACCTTGTGGTTTACAGAGCAGTGGGTAACCCACTATGCCACCAGGGCTCTTAAACACAATTTTAGGAGACCTTTGAAGGATGGCAAACTAAAGGAATAGTTGGGATTACATTGCACTAAAACGAGGGGCCTTCAAAAGTTCATGGAAAAATGGAATGAGAATAAAATCTTTCCATGAACTTTTCGAAGTCCCCTTGTACATGAATGTTAGTCAAGAACATTAAATCTCTTATCAGTTAATTGCAAATGTCAAGTCATTCCCACTCAGAGCAGCCTGCTGGAAGAGATAAACCTGAGCTGTGTGTTTGAGACTTTATGTAGAAGTAGAAAGCTGTGTCTCTCCCCTCTGGAGCTGCTGGTGGGTTCAAACTGCTGATCTTGTATTTAGCAGCCCAACTCACAAGCAGGGCTCCTCAGTGTGGCGATGAGAAAATGTAGGGAGCTTGAAAATTTTAAGGCCTAAGCAACTGAAAAGATTGGAACTTTGGTTTTATAAAGAGAAGTTTTTCTCTATTGTGTGGGTAGATATGTGATGATTTACCAACAATGTGACTTTGTATCGGTACTTAAAGGAGCCCTGATGGCTCAGTGGGGTTTGGGTTGCTAACAGCAAGGTCAGTGGTTCAGTGCTTTGTGGGAGAAAGGTGAGGCAGTTTGCGACCATGAAGATTATAGCCTCGGAAACCCTATGAACAGTCCAACTGTCCTAGTGGGTTATGAACTGGAATTGACTTGATGGCTTTGGTTTATCCGCACTTGATCCACAACTTATAATTACTTTTCTTCTTTCAACTGAAGAGCAGCAATTTAAGCGCTGGTCTTTTTAAAAAAAAATCATTTTATAGGTTTTTATCATCTTACAGTTCTTATCACAATCCATATATACATATATCCATGTGTCAAGCACGTTTGTAAATATGTTGTACATCATCCTCAAAACATTTTCTTTCTGCTTGAGCCCTTGGTATCAGCTCATTCCCCCTGCCTCCACCACCCTACCTCCCTCATGAACCCTTGGATAATCCATAAATTTATTTTTTTTATGTCTTACACCAACCCCTGTCTCCCTTCACCCACTTTTCTGTTGTGCGTTCCCCTGGGAGGGGATTATATGTCGATCATTGTGATTGGTTCTCCCTTCTCCCCCTTACCCTCCTGGTATCGATAGCTACTCTCATTATTGGTCCTGAGGGGTTTATCTGTCCTGGATTTCCTGTGTTTCCAGCACTTATCATACCAGTGTACATGCTCTGGTCTAGCCATATTATCAAGGTAGAAATAGGGTCATGATAGTGGGTGTGTGTGTGTGTGTGTGTGTGT